TAAAGTCATCTCTTGGATTTTGTTTACTCAAACATAAGTTCTGATAGTCTGAGTCACCATTTCACACTCGAATGGGAGACAAACAATAATATCCTTTGTACAAGTTCCTCTTGTTTGACTTGTTTACTCTGTAAATCCTCCCATTAACTTCTTGGTTTGCTTCTGCTCACTCAGTTGTTTTTGTTTTTTTTCCATGCCCCTGTCGGCTCTTCATTCGGCCCTCATCTTGTGGACGACGACAAGGGTGGTGACAACCCCAGCCAGAAAAATCCCCAAAAATTGCCACATGGGAATGCCGACGTAGGAAAAAATTCCCTCCTACAAATTTAAAAAGATATCATTAACAGCGTTTTCTCAGGAGTTAAAACTTCAAATCCAACCAGTGATTTTATTTGTCAATGAGCTCCTTACCCAGCCGCCTTGCTCCTTTATCCAGCCAAGCACCTTTTCTCGGAAAAAGTCTATGATCCAGCTGATTATGGTTTTGATTAACTCACATATTTTGCTTTCATGAGCCTAACGAGACATGTGGAAAAATTGACCAAATCAAATTTAATCAGCTTATTTTAATGTTTGCACTTCTATCCTGCCTGGATACAAATCAACAAACTAGCTTTCTGGAATAAGAACATCAAATGGTATTTTTAATACTTTTAATGCAAACAATTCTTACAGGAATATCAACAACATACAACAAGGAAAGAAAAGTAGATGCTTCACTCACTTTCAAGACAAACATGCCGGCAAAGCAGAAGACGGTAACCACCCTGCCCCAGTTGATCTCCCCATCGGAAAAGAGTTCGCGGACAATTTTCACAAACACTTCCTTTGAGGGAGTGAATGATGGAACCTCTATTAGCCTAAAGAAAAAAACCCCATAAATAATCAATTCAAATAATTGTAGTTTCATAAAATAAAATGTTCATCTTTTAATCAGGACTATGGCCTCACAGAGAGGGAGCCTCACTTTTTAATCCCTCCTTCTCCATCCACTTCATCCGCAACAACCTGAAAGGCATCAGAGACTTTCTGCTGCTGTGGGTCACAGAGAGCTGTTACACCCAACGCTTCCTGGAGGATCGGCACCTTACTTAATGCATGTCGCTGAATCCACTTCACGACGAAACTAGAAAACATTTGGAGAGAGTAGAGAGTACAGATAAGACACATTTGTAGGTAACTAGCTGCAGTATAGTGAAGCTATTCAAAATGACTGACTGTATCCAACCCTTTGACATCTTTAGCACTTAAAGGAATAGTACACCCAAAACATGATTAGCCTTCATTTTCTACTCACCCCCATGCTGAACAACACTCTGGAGTACTTTTTTGATATC